TATTTACGAACAATAGGACCATGCTGCTGTGATTTATTTCATTTGTCTGTAGTTTTAAATCAAGAACCTGCGGAAAATGTCTGTTTTTAGTAAGGTTATTGGGAATGAAATCGGACCTGGCAGAATTTTTATTCGCCACGTGGGCGAGCAAGTTATAAATTCTATGAGCCCACACCAAAATTTACTCGCAATTTGCGAGTGGGCGAGCGTTAAGTTTAAACCCTGTGGGAGGTTCTTTCAATGGGCGTGCATCCTTGGTATCAATCGTGTGTTTGACCAGTGAAGTATGTCCCAAGTCTCTGTCTGACCTCGCAAATATATCTGCATACCTAGCCAGAAACTTCTGTAATTTAGGTATTTCACCACCATTTAGGGCAGATCTTTGCATGTCTTATTTACAGTAGAGGTTGGTTCAAAAACATTGTCAACTGAACTCATATTTGCAATAAATGTTCCTGGATACACTGTTTGGTGTTCATGGGCTGGATTCATCATTCGGACTGGTATTTCTCCATCTTTTACATATCCAACTGATCTTGCTATTGATGCTTTTCCTGATTTGAGGAACTTCGACGATGGTTCTACCATACCTAAAACTTCTTTCATGTGGTAGGATTTTGACGGCATTGAGACCTTACAATAAGTCACTATCTCACATCTGGCAGAAACAACAATCATCTCTTTCGAGTTAATTCTAAAGCAACCGATTTTGCCAAAGAAATCAACTTTGTAAACTTTGTCGTTTACCTTAAAATACCCATTAACTATGTCTATTGTACAATTGTATTTCTTCATAAAGTCAAGTCTAAATACTCCATCAAGAGAAAAATCTGCTACGATGACATCTTGGCTATAAAAATTCTCACCCAGATTTATGCAAATGCTAGTTTTTCCTTTCACATTTAAGTCGGTTCCACATGCGGAAAAGACTATTTGATCGGTTTTGTACAAAACTGGCTTGTTTTGTATAGCCTCGTAAACTTTACTGGACAGTACTGATAGTGTTGCTCCCGTGTCAACAAGCAAATTCGCTTCAATTCCCTGTATGGTAGCTTTCACGTACATTCCAGCCTCAGGGTCATTCTGGTTTACCCCAACTTGAGCTTTGTAAGACGTGATGCTTTTGAATGTGTTTTGTACAGGATGTTTCTTTGTACTATATGAATATTTCTTTTGTGATGCTGTGTTTTGTTGAGTTCTATAACCTTGTGGACAGTCATATCGGAAATGATTTGGAGATCTACACAAATAGCAGCGTCTATTGCTGGTAGCTCCAGATTTCTTTTTGTATACAATATCCTAGGAATTCTTCGCTTTCATGTCATTAACTTCTTTACGAAGTTTTCTTATTTCATCCTTCAGCTCTACCAATATACTTGTGTTGATCTGATCTGTTATGACTTTCTTGTTTCCCTCAGTGTTTTCTGACTGCATTGGTCGTAAGTGGGTTTGTTTTTCTAACATTTTATGATCAGATTTAACAAATGCTTCCAATTCGACAGCATGTCGAATAGCATCATTAAGGTTTAATGGCCTTGCTTGTTTAATTCTCAATCTCATATCAGAATCTAGGAGAGCATCAATAAACTGTTCCTTTGCCAGTGTTTCTTGCACATCTCTTGGTGCCGTTGGGTATGCCAAGCTTGTGGGTCTTCTTATTGATTGTCCCAGTTCTGGTAAAGTTTCCGTTGCTCGTTGTTGGCGTTCTCGCAGTTGGGTCCTATACAAGTCATTTTGATTCGAAGGTGCAAATCTCTCCTCTAATGCATTCACAAGTAAGACATAGTCATGCTTGTGTGTGTTAGGCAAATTCCCCAGTACACCTTGAGCCTGTCCTCTTAAGGAAACTGCTAAATATAAACCTTTCTCTAGTCCCGTCCACTTCTTGAACATGGCGCATGCATCAAAATGGGAACGGTAATCTAACCAGGATCCCGTACCATCAAATGTTGCAGGTTTTATATGGGTCTGTGGTTTCTTCTCTACTGCTGTTATGATATTGGTCTCTGCATCCTGTCTACTAAATCGACGATCCTTTCGGCGATTAGTAATGTTTGACTCTGTTGCACTTCCAGAGACTGGTGTTGACATTAAATAACCAGGTCTTTTGCCCTCATCGGAAGGAACACTACTTGTACCAAACAACATTTCATCTTCCCAAGAAACTTTTCCTATGGGATGCTTTTTCGGTTTAACATCACCGTGAAAGTCTATATCTGAAAATATGCCTGATGCAAAAGCTAAATATTTTGATTTCGTATCTGATTGAACATCTGGCGTACTTGTTTTATTAGCACTTGTATTCTTGGCTAAACTAGCATTGTGAATGCTTAAACTGTCATTTTTCAACTCTTGTAACTTCTGCTCCATGAATGTTATTTCTTTGTCAATGTCGGTAATGTCCTTGTCAGCCATGTTTTACAATATACCCACGAAATGAAAACAAATAATAGATTAACAAATGATACTAAATATATAAACGTAATATTCCTAAAACCGCTGCCACCAAATTTGTAACGTTTTTCCAAAGTACAAATAATTATCTATTGGGTCCGCTTAGGATTCCTTCCTAAGAATCACGTTTATATCGAATTAAAACAAACTTTAATAACAATGGCAAACAACTGACTTAAATTCACTATATATATTTTTCCTAGGTCCTATCTGGATAATGATTAGAAAACTAACTATAAAACAAACAATAACAAAAGGATCACTAATAATCAAGTATCAAATATAAAGTTATATCACTGTAGTTGCAGACTGAGTGGTTTAACCAACAATTCTGTTGTTTCCCGACACAGTTTGCAACTACCTTAGAGTCACTGAGACACCTTTATCAAAAGTCACCAAGACACTATTTTAAGTCATCAAGACACTATAGTCACTGAGACACACTATTAAGGAACTAGGTTCCTGGGCTGAGTGGTCTAACGAACAATTCTGTTGTTTCCCGACACAGACCAAGAATCTAGCCCAGGAGGTGTTACTCAAATGATGAGTAACGACCAAGTACTGTAAACCAACTTTTATTCGCGTGCGAGAAATATCCGCGAGTTCCGCGACCTCCTTTAACTCGCGAATATTAATAGCCGCGAACCAGTCATTTTGCTAAGGATTTGTAGAAAATGTTTCCTCGCTCGCGGAAATTAATCGTCGCGGATTGATTTTAAACGGACGAATCGCGAAAATAATAGATGGTTTACAGTAACCGAAATCTTCTTGAGCGTCCATATTTATACCTTATTCTAATTCCTAATGATTGGTTGATGATTCTGGAACTCTGATTGGTTATAATATCAAGCGCTGATTGGGCAATTATCAAATGATTCTATTGGACGATTTCAAAGGCATTTCAATCCATTATGATTCTATTTCATTACACCTGGATCATCCTTGCACCGCGTTTTACTTACTTTTACTGTAGTTTTCAATTGTCCTTGATATAACTTTTAAAAATTTGCAACCAGTATAAAACCCATCTAAACACATATATCTACAGACTGCACGTCATTTTCACCGCCAATTTATCACAATTTGAAAGATTTGGACAAAATTTAACCAAACCGGAAGTGATCTGGATCTTTCTCTGAGGCCAAGGTTTTACGTCACATTAGGTTGAAAGAGTGTTAAATTGTCCTGAAATAATTTTAGAAACATGAAAACAAACAATTTTATCGTAAGACAATAATAAGAAATCGGTGCTCGTAGAAGTCTAATATCATATCAAACAAACTTAATCATCCTTAAAGCGGTGCACTTACATGCTAAACATCCTAGGATATTGACCAAAAGGCCTCTTTGTGATGATGCACTGTCAAATCCCCGTACCTGAATCCCATTGAACACATTTGGGATTATTATAAGGAATATCAAAGCCCCCCCCCCCTTCCAATTTCAATGGTTTGGAAAGATCTAGGCAGTAGGTGTGGCAGCAGATGGGTCAGTTTCCTATTCAGGGGTACATCGTATCCAACAGTAAAGGAAGTCCTGCTGTCATTAGAGTTAATGGTGGTCTTACTCCATAGAGATAATTTTATGTGAATTTTCATTTTGAGGGTACATCATTTCCTGGACACTTTGCCAAAATTCTGACGAGATATTTACCTGAAATTTTCGCAACATCAGTTACATCCTTGAAATATGTATCATTAACAATAATTATTAAGGAAATAATTTATCGTATGCATTTGTTCTTTAAAACTTATAAAATGTTAGGTAAACATTTAAAAGTTTGGTTCAGTCTATATGGCCTCGACCGGTCTCAATGCCCAACAGTGGGATTCAAACCTGCGACGTAAGTATCAACTCCTTTAAACTCCGCGACTCTAGAGCAGATGTTCATACCACTGCGCCACTCGGGCGACAGGATGTTCATGATCATGAATTCAGCAGATATTTCAGATGTGCAAACCGGTAGTTTATCATAATATAATGTGATATTCTAACTATCAAGTCAACAATACATTGATTCTACATATGTACATGTGTTTGTTTGAAATTCATGTTTATCAAATGAGATATGATTCAGATGTTTATTAAAGATGCTGGGTAGTCGTGGCCATTTTTAGACTATTTTGATCTCCATTAGAAGAGGAGCTCCATATAAAGATACTATAAAATGATCAAATTTCAAAGCTAAAATTTATGAAATTTTTCTTTGCCAAATGATAGTTGACAGCTTAAGATATCATATCCCAAAATTTAAGTTATATCTGGTGGTTAATAAAAAAATAATTAGTTGACCCCCTAGCCTCCTTAAGGTAAATAAAGATTGAGATAACATTTAGATGTCCATTTAGTCAGTTATAATCCGTATTAATATGAATTTTGTTGCGATGTATCAGTTGAATTTATGTACATGTTTGTTGGTATCTTTCAAGAAGCCTTTCACCACTTCGATAAACTTGGAAACATACCCCCCTGTTGGAATGTGTGGGTAAATGTTAACAATGACGGTGAAGAGGGGGGGGGGGTTAAATATGATGTAGGTAACCAACTTGTGTTTTGTTCATCGAACAGTAGCTTTCCAGGACTTCTGGTAGGGATCAATGTTGACTGGAACGTGGAACAAGTCCCCAAACTCCGAGGATCTCTTGATATGAAAAAGAAATTAGTCATTTCAGTAAAAGACAAGCTATATAACAAATATCTAATATTAAAAAACTCGGTTGATTCGTTAGAGATTTTCCTTGATTTCGCCTTTTTTAATGAAATATTTCAGTCAATTATATAGAGCAGTGGTTTTACGAGCTGTTTTTTCATTTATTATAGTCTCTCTTGTGGCGCGAAGGCTTAATTTTGTTGGAATCGAACCCAGCGACATGGGTATCAACTTCTTACTCCACTACTAAAAAGCAAACGTTTTATTAACTGGACCACGCGGGCGCTTTTGGATGTGTTTTCTAAAATTTGCATCCGATTTTCTTACTGTACTTTAACCGAAAGAAGTTTTCCATAAGGCTGTTTTGTGTTGATAATGCTCTTTTATTCAATCTCCAAAAGTTTATGGAATTTACTACCAGGGTAAAGTTCTCACCTGTATGCTGTTACAACACTTATATTGTTGCCTTTTGAAATGGAATAAGTATGAGTCACGTCTTGCCATTCTTTGTTCTTTGCTAAAGGGGTTTTTGAATACATCATGATCTCGTACCAAACACCAACATACTGAAATTTTTACCAGATTTTCATAAAATGAAAATATAAGAGGTCGGATCAAGTGCCTGTACTAGTCCTCTCGATCCAGTAGCACCCGCTGTTAACCCCCAATACATTGTATGTATACAGAAATAAAATTTTCAGAAAAACTAAAATTGTACCACATGTTATTGATTTTTTTTTTTTTTTTTTTTTTTGATTTTTTTAATTTTTTTTTATTGAGCCCCCAATACATTGTATGTATATAAAAATAAAATTTTCAGAAAAAGTAAAATTGTACCACATGTTATTGATTTTTTTTTATTTATTTAATTTTTTTTTATTTGGCCCCCAATACATTGTATGTATAAAAAAATAAAATTTTCAGAAAAAGTAAAATTGTACCACATGTTATTGATTTTTTTTTTGATTTTTGATTTTTTTTTTATTGAGCCCCCAATACATTGTATGTACATGTATATAAAAATAAGATTTTCAGAAAAAGTAAAATTGTACCACATATTATTGATCAGTGAAATGTAACAATATATGCATAAATTATTTAAATAATTAGAATAAGTATGCCTAACCATTGGACTTAGAGCAGAGTGACAAAATTTTTACCAATGCAATAGCTGCTGCTAAAAGGCAAACAGTTCTCCTGTTACAGGTATCAATATATTTTACACAACAGAACGAGCAGACAAATCCAGCATTAATTTTTTTTATTTGTCATTT